CTCTTCTCTACTTTATCCTCTAGTTTAGCCTTTGAGTTTTTTTGAGGTCCAGTCCAACTACACTGCATTGGTGGTACGATTTTCATAGAAACTTTGCCCTGGAAATATGACCAGGATGCTAAGAGCAACCAAGATATGACTTGAGAGGGAAAAAAGACTGCACCAGACTGGTGGTATCATTTCCATAGGAATTCCACCCTAGGAATATGACTAGGATGCTAAATGCAACCAAAGTGTGACTCGAGAGGAAGATCTTTAAAAAATATATGGGGGGGGGAGATTTGTTGTTGTTGTTGTTGTTGTTGTTGTTGTTGTGTGCCTTCAAGTCATTTTTGACTTATGGTGACCCTAACGCAACCTTATCATAGGGTTTTCTTGGCAGGGTTATTCAGACAAGGTTTTTCTTTACCTTCCTCTGAGACTGAGAGATTGTGACTTAATAATTTTGTGCATGAAATAAACTTTGTGTACACTGAACCATCAGAAAGGAGAAGTGTCACTATCTCAGTCCCTCATGTGGACAATTTTGGAGTGTTTCGAATTTTTGATTTTCAGATAAGGGATACTCAATCAGTACGGCTATTCAGGATTCCCGCTGTTCTGTTCTGTTGCCTGACATTTTGGTCTCTCCCCACTGAAGATGATCTTTGTCTTTTGGGGTCCTCCCTAGACATACACATACTTTTAGGGGTGTTCTTCTATAGTTTGGGTGTGCAAGTCCAAAGGCTCTCTGACTTGCTCTTGTACATGGATGCTGATAATATCATTTGGTGGGGACAAAGGAGAGGGCCTTCTTGGTGGCTGTTCCCAGACTTTGGAACTTCTTCCCAAAAGAGTCCAGGATCTGTCCATATTTGCTCTCCTTCCACTGACAAGTTAAAACATTTTTATTTCATCTAGCTTTTAAAAGTTGGGATGGGCTTTTAATGGTTTTAATGTGGTGCTGTTTTTATGGTTTGGTCGGACATGACTTAACAACCTTGTCAACGGGGAATATTTTTGCTTTACCTATATAGTCTTTTAATGAATTGTAATGGTTTTAACTTTATAAGTTGTTTAATTGTTTTTAAAATAACTTTTATAGTTATGTCTTTTATTGAAGGTTTTATATATATTTTTAAAATCTGTATAATTTTAAAATAGGTTATGAGCTGCCTTGAGTCTCAGTATTGGGGGAAAGGTAGGATATAAATAAATAGAACAACAACAACAACAACACATGTATTCAAAGCCTAAAGAATGGAAACAAAGAATGATTAATCATCAAGTTGAAATAGATCAATTATTAGTGTCAAAATGCAGACTTTTTTGATGGAATGAATACATATTGTGGAAGGAGCCATTTGTCTTCTACTCCATCAAAGGCCATTAAAGTATTTTAAGAATCCATATACAACATTGCAAAAGGAATACTCTCAACATCTATGCAATTTTGTCTTTGAGAAACTGATACAACAAGGAAGAGTTACATTGGGGTAAGCAACCCTTGGTTCTCCAGATGCCATTAAACTACCATGATTCATCACCATTGGCTATGTTAGCTGGGGTTGATGGGATCTGCAATCCAGCAACATCTGAAGAGTCAGAAATTTCCCATCCCAAGGTTTGCCAGTTCAGGATCATCCCAGCCCCTGAGGTTTCTGGTCCAAAACCTGAGATCTAGATACAGCCCCAATTAAGTTATTAAGTTTTATGCATTAGGTCCCAACCATATCTGCTTACAGTTTGTCATTTAAACACACAGACACACTTAAATGTGCATATATACAGAAACATATTTTCTTGTCTAGATATTAAGACAGAGATCATATTTAAAGTGGCTGCTCCCTGAACAAGTTGAAAAGAAGGGATTATTCCTTCTCACTTACTTAAGGAACAATTAACCTACCCCACTTCTTCTAACCTAGACAGAAAATGAATGGAAGGAGCAGAGTAAAGGGTGAGCCCTGGCACTGCAACGACTGAGAGAGAAAGAGGAGGCTAATAAAGTAAATACATAGAACTCCCTGAGGACTCTTTGCAGATGCAACAAGTCAATTAAGTCTTGCAAATTATTGCAAACATCTACAGTCCCAGATGAGCCAGATGCAGTCCTTCTCCTCTTTTGCAGAGCTGAGCCCACCAAAACGGGAGGATTTGCACCCTCTCCTCCTGCCTGGAGATGTCCCATGAACAGTGAAGACTCAGGGCAAAGCCCGGAGATCTGGCAACCCTCCTACTTATCCTTGATCTGTGGGCAATTCAGGCTTGGAGCTTGGTAGACCTTGGGCAGAAAAGAATGCTTCCCTGTTTGCTTCTGTGTTGTGGATTTGGCATATTCTTGGTTGGAATGGACTCTAACAGAGGCTTGGGTTTCTGCATGACCTGAGAGGTACATGTGGATGCTGGGTGAGGCTGTTCCAGCTCCGGGAGGCCCTTCAGGTGTTTCATCATAATGGGCCAAGAAAGTGGCACATTTTCCTGCTGCATCCTCCCTACACACACACATACACACACTTTTAAAAATCTGGCTCCCAAATGCCTCTGGTTCCATTTGAGAACTTTTTAATCACATGTTTGGCCTCCCCAGAGCTACCTTGGAATAGTTTATAATAAAACTAAGATTTTGAAAACCCAGGTATTATTATTATTACTGTTATTATCCCACCCTTTTCCCCAAATTGGGACTCAGGTACAATATACAATGAATATACATGTTTAAACAGTTCAGACCTATGCTTACTCATATCCTGCATCTGTTCAGGAGTGCTCTGTGTTCAATTGGGCTTAGTCTTTAGTAAACGTAGAAATCTTCCTAAGGATGAAGCCACACTATGAAATTATAGCAGTTTGATATAACATCAACTGCCATGGTTGTTGTTGTTGTTGTTGTTGTTGTGTGCCTTCGAGTCATTTCCGACTTATGGCAAACCTAAGGTGAACCTATCATAATGTTTTCTTGGCAGGATTTGTTCAGAAGTTGCCATTCCTTTCCTCTGAGGCTGAGAGCATGTGACTTGCCCAAGGTCACCCAGTGGGTTTCATGGCTGAACTGGGAATCGAACCCTGGTCTCCAGAGTCATAGTCCAACATTCAAACCACTACGCCACACTGACCATGGTTTTGTTCTATAGAAGCTGTGATTTTGTAGTTTTTATGAGGTCCTTAGAATTTTCTGCCAGAGAAATCAAGTGCTGTAGCTCAGTATGTCACCAAAAACAAAACCCAGGATCCCATAGGAGGGAGCTATGGCAGTTGAAATGGGATAGCCCCTACGAAGATAACTGGTATGGATACTCTAAGGGTGAAGCTACACTACAGAAATAATGCAGTTTGACACCATTTTAACTGTTGTGGCACCATCCTACAGATTTATCCTAGGATTTATAGTTTTGTGAGGCAACAGCACTCTTTTTCAGAGAAGGCTAAATACCTTTTAAAACTACAATTCCCACGAGTCCATAGGATGGAGCTATGGCACTTAAAGTGGTGTCAAAATGCATCATATCTGCAATGTGGATGTGGATGCACTCTAAGAAATAACTGTGTTAATCTGAATACAAAAGCAAAGTTTAAAACAAAACAGGAATCTTAAAATTACGCAGATTGTTTTAGCATGCCCTTTCATGCATTACAATGCACTTCCTCAGATGCATTAAAGGAATGCTAATAAGTATGATTGGTATTACACTGTAAATACATATATTATCTATACGCTTGAGTGCAAAGCTTGGAGATGTTATCATTTTGACTACAGCTCCCAGACTCCTTTATTGACATGATTCTGAAGACTATCGACTAAAAAAACAACATTTCCAAGTTCTGAATGTATGCATCAAGAAGTGAAATGTATGCTAATTCTTTTAAATGCGTTGCAACAAATTATACCCTTGCATGCATTACAATGTTCTTCTCTAGGCCTTAATCTCTAATGATTAGAGTCTAGCGCAGTCCAGATGAACTCCTAGTGAACTAGTCACAGAAGAAAAGTGGTGGCCCCGGATGGGGATAAACCTCTCCAGTTTTGCATCCAAAGACAGATCACACTAGCCGCAAGCAAGCTTGAGTAAGCATCGCCCTGTGAAAGTGAACTCGGATTTACAGTTACAGCGGCAACTCATGTACAAAGCTGCTTTAGACATATGGATTTCTCATAATGGATCAGCACTGCATACCCTCCAACTGTCCTGGCCAATATATCATGGGGTTTTCAAGCTGGAGCACGTCCAAAGGAGAGTGACTAAAATGGTGAAGGGTCTTTAGTAAAAGGCGAAAGATTTATACCATCTTACTTAAGCTATTCGCTGGACAGTCAAAATCAAACCATTATACTTAAGGCAGCAACATTTTGTAACATTATATGCAAAATACATTCTCAGATAATTGGTAACAACTGATGCTAGATGGTAGAGATCAACTCTGATTTCCATATATATATATATATATATATATATATATATATATTTTTTTTTTTTTTTATTGGTCCATGACCAAAATAAAAATTGTTGTTGGTGGTGAAGGGTCTGGAAGCCTTGCCCTATAAGGAATGACTTAGGGAGCTGGGTATGTGTATGTTTAGCCTGGAGAAGTGACGGTTAAGAGGAGATATGATAGCTGTGTTTAAATATTTGAAGGGAGGTCATATTGAGGATGGAGCAAGCTTGTTTTCTGCTGCTCCAGAGCATAGGACAAGGATGCAAGCTCCAGGAAAAGAGATTCCACCTCAACATTAGGAGGAACCTCCTGACAGTAAAAGCTGTTTGACAGTGGAACACACTCCCCTGGAAAGTGATGGAGTCTCCTTATTTGGAAGTCTTTAAACAGGGACTGGATGGTCATCTGTCAAGGATGCTTTCATTCTGAGTTCCTGCATGGCAGAGGGTTGGACTGAATGGTTCTTGTGGTCTCTTTCAACTCTGATTCTATGATTCTTGGGCAAGATTTATCCAGAGGAGATTTACCCTTCTGTTCCCCTGAGGCTGAGAACATGTGTCTTGCCCAGGGCCACCCAGTGGGTTTAATGGCCGAGCTGGAAATCGAACCCTGGTCTCCAGAGTCGTAGTCCAATACTCAAAACCACTACACCATGCTGACTCTTCCATAGCTATGCCCCATTGTTAAAATAGCTGCCACGTTTTGCAAAGCCTGGTTTTCTGTTCCCCTGGCATCATGGCATTGAAATGAACCTTGTGTTTCTTATCTGCCAAGTTGAGGTGCCAGTAATGTCTGCCTCCACATTTCGCAACCTGGCTCAAGAAAACAGGTCAGGGGAGCTACTGTAATCTTCTGCAGTGAGAGATGGGGTGGAGGCCATGAAGCAGGAATGTTCCCCAACTGCCTCCTTGTACAGCAAAAGGACCGATCCTGAGGGGAATCAAGCACACGGAGTCCCTCCCAGAGCTGTAAATGCTTTGAGGACTGAGAAACCAGGTTTGCTGGTGGCTGGAGGACTGCTTCCTGGTACAGTGGGATAGAGAAGGAATTTAGCCTCTGAAAAATCTTGGCTCAGCAGTCTTCAAAAGGCCACATATGTGACCTGCGGTAAGTCTGTTCACCTTTTGGGGCTCTGGTCTGTGAAATGGAAACGTGGAAGGGCCTGAGTATGTAGCAAAGCTACTTGTATTCTTCCAAACATGGAAACTTTGGTATTTTTGGAACTGCAACTCCCAGAATCTCTTAGCCTTGACAACCAGTGGCTGTACCAGCTAGAGGAATCTGCAACCTGTACTCCAAAAAACTCACAGAAACTATAGCCAGCATGGTCAATGGTTATGATGGCTGAGAGATTCAGGGAGTTGTAGTTCCAAAAAGTAATGTTAGATAGACAGACAGCCACTAAGTGTTAGCACACCATTTGACTCTGAGGTCTAGCACCAAAATGTCTTGGGCCGCCAATGGTAAACTAGCTGTTTGGCCATCTTGGCAAGTCCTCATAGTTCTGTAGTTTCACACTACAGAATTATTGCACTATGATTCCACTTTAGCTACCTTGGCTGAATCTTAGGGATTCCTGGGGTTTGTAGTTTGCTGAGCTTGTAGAGCTCACTGTCCAAGAATTCTAAATAGCCCTCTCCAAACTACAAATCCCAGAATTCCACAAGATGTTGCCATGGCTGTTAAAAGTGATGGCTTTCTAAATGGTTAGCTGTATTATCTTCTCATTTGCTTTGATCTCCTTCCTCACCAACTGAAGGAGTTGCTGTTGGCAAAATGACACCTTGTATAGGCTGCCCACATCAAGAAGCTATTCTGCAGACTGGGAGGAAAGGCATAAAAGAGTGAATGTGGATGGCATATTCAGGATAATGTGGCAGTGTTCTCCATCCATGTTGCTCTTTGGGTATCAGGGTGTAGCTATGGGTGGGGGACAAAATTAG